ATATATATATATTTATATATATATATATATATATATATATATATATATATATATATATATATATATATATATATATATATATATATATATATATATAAAAAAAGTAAAATCTAAGTATCTTTTGTGATTGGGACAATTGGCTAGTCCATACCCATGAATTTATCCCTAATTATTTAACTAGTCCAATAGGACGGCTAATTAATAATTAGTATAGTTTAATTGAGTAATTAATTTATAATTTTCCCTACTAAATACTGATTGTTAAATACCAGCCACAACAATTGCAAAATTCCAATGTGACAACAAATTAAAGGTGGCATGTTTTTTTAGCCTCCACCACAATGATGTCATGTGTCATGTCTCTGGTAATTTTAATCATACAGTAGATTAGTGGTTGTTAATTATGTAATTAGTTATATACAAAGAGCTATTTTTTTCTTAACAGGCTTATACTTCTATTCATTAATTGTCTACAAATTAATTCAGCAAAAACAATTGTCCACGAATTAAAAGGAATAGATCGGGAGAATTACACATTTGGTCCGTCATATTTGGCCAGATTCCACTTTTGGTCCCCGTTATTTTAGAAGTGAACAAAATTCACTTTCAATGTTCAATTTTAAACGCTTTCGGTCCCCGCTGTTATATGTCCGTTTGCAAGTAACGGAAAACACTATTTTGGGGCCAAAAGTGATTTTTTTTGGGGCTAAAAAATAGTTAGAAATTTAAAATATACTACGTGTAATTAAATTTTTAATAATATTAAGTATGATAAAATTAATATGTTTAGTTAATTATTTTTTTTTATTATTAAAAATTTAATTATAAGTAATATAATTATAATAATATTAAGTATAATTAAAAATAATTTTTTTAATTAATTATAAGTAGTATATTTTAATTTCTAATTATTTTTGAACCACAAAAAAATTTTAAATTTTAATATTTGCCCCAAAATAGTGTTTTCCGCTACTTGTTAACGTTCAGTATAAAGTTAACTTGGAACAAGAGAGACTAAAAATGGAATCATGCCAAATATGAGGGGCCAACGGTGTAATTCTCCCAGAATGTATTAAATATTAAAATAAAATAATAATACTCTCATTTGACTGCAATAGTGGGACCATTTATAACAGCACACGTGGTGGGGTCTGACCGGCTGGAATAGACCACATAGTAACGTAGTCAGATAAACCAAGTGGACCTAATAAACTGATGGCTCAATGGCTCACAACCCACACAATAATCTCTTAACCATGGTTAGTGGGAACGACAATAAATTGATTGAATTTAAATTTATTATGTTTTTTTAATTTCATTTAATGATTACCATACATGATGATATTGACTAATTAAATTTATTATGTTTTTTTAATCGTTTATTAATTAATGTAGATGCTAGGGCGGTAACCTAGACACCTTTTTTAAATCAATTATTCTTATAATATTTTCAGACCCAGACCTTAATTCAACGGCCCGTTAAGGTAGCGAACCGGACCTGGTGCTCACAAGGAACCAACCCTCACTGGAGTTGAAATTCCCACATTGCGGCTGCCAGGATTCGATCCTAGGACCTTGCACCAACTTACCACCTCCGGAACCAGTTGAGCTACACCCATGCGGGCACTAACAATTTAAATCTCGACTCAATGAATTTATATTCATACATAAATTCAAGTATTTGTGTAAAATTCACATGGATTGTTAATCATTTATATCCTATGTTATTAAAAAAAAAAAAAAAAAAAAAATCGTACATACTTTTAGGCCCCGTTTGATTGCCAAGATTAACCATGATTAACTAAATAGTTGGACTTAATTTGATGTTTGGTATCCTCAATAAATTGCCAGGTCGACCCGCCAAAATTAAATAATCATGGCTTATCTTGTCTTATCTTGGCTTATCTTGCCTTCTAATGAGTTTTTTTTGTTGGACGTTTCAAGCTCCAATAAAATAGTTGGGTTTCATTAGATTATTTAATCTTATCTTGGCTAATCTTATCTTGCCAACCAAACGAGACCTTAGGGTGTTATGATGTGGTCAATTTGATATTTATGGGCCGAATTCTCCATATTTAAATTAATGAGTTGAAGGCCTACTAAATTACAAAGATGGTCAGGAGCTGGCTCAGTAAAACCAAAAGCCCACTTACTAGCAAATTGAAGAGTTGGACATGGCGCCGGTGGAACTGAGAGCTCGAGATTAGTGACATTGAGTGAGATCTCAAGGCTATTGTTCTTGATACGATTAAAGAGGAAGGAGACGAGGACGCGGTAGGAGGCAAGCTAACCCTAGGATGCCGAGAAGATCCAATCTAAGGGTTCTAGGATGTGAAATGTCTATTGATAAACCCTTTGTATAATGAATACAAGAACTCGGTCAGGGTTACGTTTTTAGAGCACAATCACGATGTCCAATATGATATATACAGTATTTTCTGAATTTTCTATCTACTTTTACATTTTCCACTTGTCTCGTATATCTTCACCGACGAGAGCATCGGCGTCAGGTGAGCTTTTCCGGCGGTTCAAAAAATATGTAAAATTTGAAAGAAGGTCTTGAGGGTGTAGATTTTACTCCCCCACTACTATGAAGATTCTATTAATTAAAAAAAAAATGATACGATCAAAACTAATTCTCAAAACAAAAATCATTTAAAAAAACTTAAAAGTAGGTGGTTCACCTCTTCACCAAAATCCAAGAAACTGCCAATGAAGTTCAACAACAGCTAAGCCATTCCATCATGAAACAAGTTGCATATCTAATATGAGTGGATGTTATATATCTTGAGGTCCACATACATGTGAAAATTATAAGAGATATTAATCTATGTAATTAACTAAAGATGCTTTACATAATCCCATCCTTAATCAACTTCTTCTTAATTAATGAATGTAATTTGTACATAATGATAATCATACATGCATTCAATAATTTATAAATAATTAACTCAACTCAAATAAAAACAAAAAGTATAAGAGACTTGCTCTTTTTTTTTTATGCATTTGAAACCGATGTATTCTAATTACATTTTTGTTAAAAAGAAATTCGTAGACTGCAATCACATGTGTGTATTGGATAAATTAAGCTCTTGTGCAATAATATGCAAATCTTACAAGCGCTGTAAATTGCATTAGACAAGTTATTTGCAGCAAACTCGAGCTAAAAAGTAATGACAGACGAATGAAATCAAACTCGATTAACGATAGCTCTTCTTATTCCACCAACTAGGCTGATATTATACGTATGCTATATAGTAATTACTTGACACAATAATGTAGCACTACTTGTAGCAATTTATATTGATGCTCCAAATATATCAAGATCCCATATTTGTAATAGTAGAGTTTCTTCCATACTCTTCCATATTAAGTCTAAGTTGAATGCTAATTAAAAATTAGTCACTCTAGACAATGAAATGATGTGCATATTGCTAATTTGCTATAATTAAAAGTATTTTAATAACAGCCCCCACCAGATGGATTAGTGGACTTTTATGGATTAATTAATTAAAATTACTAAATACCACCAATAATACAATGAATGCACTGACAACTCACATATAGTCAAATTTGATATTGGGACCAATTATTAGCTTTTATTAACGGCACAAAAACTGACCTTCCTATTACACAATTTAGAAATAAAACTAACAGGAAAATTTACAGTTTTCACCCCTCAAGTTTGCACTAATTGGATATTTGCTCCCCCATGTTCATAAAAAAAATACATTTTGGTCCATTCAAGTTTCAACAATTTGACACTTTTGGTCATTTCAATTAATTTACCCTTAGTTCGTCACTTATGGTTGTGATGGATACACGTTTGATTCCGTTAGTTTTAATAAAAAAAGTGACGGAAATGACTAAAAATGTTGAATTTTGAAAAGTGAGGGACCAAATGTGTTTTTATGAACATGGCGACCAAATATGAAATTAGTACACTTGAGGGATGGAAACCGATTTTTTCCAAAAAAAACTAATGTTTATATGACCGAATGAGGTATATAAAAAAAAACTAAAGAAAAATAAATTTATCATATATGACAAAAAATGAATTTCATATAAATATATGCTTTTATATGCTGATTTATAATAATTGACATATATGATGTATTCGATTCGATATAGTACGAATAAGGCGATATATATTACAATTATTACGGATGTTGTTTTTTTTCTATCAAATTTGTGTACATATAGTTTCCACGAAATGAATATTATAATATATTGATCAATTGAAATTACATAGAACTATCATCCGATGAAATTTATCGATTGCATATTTTAATTTTGAAAAAAAATTAGTACTTCATCTGAGCAACGCACCGGGTTAAATTTCAAAATTAAATAAATATTTATATTTGCTTTTTGGAAAAAATGAAATATCTGGGAATGTCATTTATGGTGGTATTTTAGTGATATAATTTTGTATTTTGCATTATACTAAATCAAATTTCAAGTCAAAATTGAGATAAAAAAATCGAGACCCTTCTATTAACATTTTGTATATAATAATATATAGGGTAAATTTCACTCATACCCCTGAGGTATGCTTAAATAATTTTAAGATCCATACAGTATCGATAATTACACTCACCCCCCTGAAAACGTAGTTAGAAACTCTAATGGGATAATGCATTGTATATATTATTTCGATAGTGTTCTAATGGACTATTACTTTTAGCTAGTGGTGGAGATAACATAGAGTTATAGAGAGTTATATCCCCCAATATTTCTTAAATCACCCATAACTTTTTCTTGTCTCCTGAAACCAATAGTCCGTTAGAACTCTATCGTAATAACGTATCTAATGCATTATTATCCCATTAGAGTTTATAACTGCGTTTCAAGGGGGTGAGTGTAATTATCGATACTACAGGGACCTTAAAGTTATGTAAGCATACCTCAGGGGTGTGGCTGTAATTTACCCTAATATATATGCATACATATGATGATTATATAATAAAAAAATAAATTATTAATAATTACATGAGTGCATCATGTGATTTAATTGTATACGTCTCTACTAACCCTTCACTATAAAAACCAGTGCAACAAAGTACACAAAGGAAACCCTCTCTTTCCTCCAGCCTCCGCCGAGATCTACCCCACTGCAACCACCCACCCCGGCCCCCCAGATGGGCCAAAACAACCCACCGCCACCTTCCCCCACCGCCTCAATCAGGAGATCCACGAGTTCCGGCGGCGGAAGCGGCTCAATCATCCTCGAAAAGTACCAACTCGGCCGCCTCCTCGGCCGCGGCAGCTTCGCCAAGGTGTACCTCGGCCGATCTCTCGATAACAGCGACGACGAGGTTGCCGTCAAAGTCATCGACAAGGCGTCCACCGTCGACGCCGCCATGGAGCCCCGGATACTCCGGGAGGTCTCCGCCATGCGCCGCCTCCACCACCACCCAAACATCCTCAAACTCCACGAGGTCATGGCCACCAAATCGAAGATCTACCTCGTGATGGAGCTCGCACAGGGCGGCGAGCTCTTCGCCAAGCTCCACCGCTGCCGCCGCTTCTCCGAATCCACCGCCCGGAAGTACTTCCAGCAAGTCGTCTCCGCCCTCCGCTTCTGCCACCAGAACGGAGTCTTCCACCGAGACATCAAGCCGCAGAACCTCCTCCTCGATCAGAACGGCCTCCTCAAAATCACCGATTTCGGACTCTCCGCCCTATCGGAACAGAAAAAGGACGGCCTGATCTACACCGCCTGCGGCACGCCGGCGTACACCGCGCCGGAGGTGGTCTACCGGAAGGGCTACGACGGCGAAAAGGCAGACGCCTGGTCCTGCGGCGTTCTCCTCTACGCCTTCCTAGTCGGCAGCCTCCCTTTCGATGACAGCAATTTGTCGAACATGTACCGTGCAATGCACAAACGCTCATTCGAATTCCCCGATTGGGTTTCCAAATCGGCCAAACTCGTCATATACAAACTCCTCGACCCAAACCCTAACACAAGGCTGAGCCTCGATGACCTGATCAAACTCTCCTGGTTCAAAAAATCATTCTCCCAGGAAAATCTCTGCTCGCAAGCGGATCAAAGTCCTCGATCCGAATTTCTCAACCGAAAGGACTCCGACTACTTGCCGAAAGTGAACGCTTTCGACATAATTTCAATGTCTTCGGGGCTCGATTTATCGGGGCTTTTAGAAGCGGAGGTGAACAGCAAAGAGATGAGGTTTACTAGTGTTTTGGAGGTGGTTGTGATTGAGGAGAAGGTTGTGAATGTTGGGGAGAAACTCGGGTACAGAGTGGAGAAAGGGAAAGGTGGCGGGATTCGACTCGTTAAGGGACGGGCGGTTCTTGTTTTGCAGATTTGGGAAGTGGCGATTGAGTTGTGGTTAGTGGAAGTGAAGTTAGTTGATGGTAGTATGGAGTTTGGTGTTCTGCAGTGGGGTGAGTTGAAATCGGGGCTCGGCGATATCGTACTCTCGTGGCACAACGAGGTTTCTTGAGCAAACGTTCTAGTTTAGGCGATTCTACCGATTGATTTTGCTTTCGTTTGGGGCCGTAATTTTATGGGGAATTCATGTTCTTACATCATATCAATCAAGAGATGAATGTAAGAAAGAGTTGGGTTGATCTATGGATGATGAAATCTTGGGGATGGGGGGGATGAGATTTTTCTTCTTTTTTTTTTTTCTTTTTTTTTTTTTTGTTTTTTGTTTTTTGTTTTTTTTTTTTGTTTTTTTAATTTAGTTAGGTTAGGAGAAAAGTATCCTCTATAAGGAGGTGCATGACAATGGAACTTTTGTATATGGATTTTGCTTTTTAATAGATAGACTAATTTAATTGGATAGCATTTCTTGATTTTGTAATTCTTTTTGTTCTTGCATAATAACTTGTAATTAATTTGATATTTTGCATTTGCACCCCATAACCATTGTCATATGTGGCAAAGGTACTTGATAAATCTGCATTTCATTAGAGTTGTGAGATAAAACAAGAAGTTGGTGCTAGTAGAGACAAGTTGTGATATCACATGTGTGTGTTCTCAATTATGACAAACATGACATATACACTATAGAGCATTCAAACTTTGAGGCCTCCGTAAACTTTGAGGTCGGACCAACGAACTAAAAACGAGCCCTTTCGGCTAAAGTCTGAAGAAGATACGAATTTGAGTCGCTAGCCCACTAAGGAAGAAGCCCAATATATACAAGCCTACTATGAGAAGAATTCGCAAGAAATAGATGCGCGCTTCTTAAGTTCACATGAAGTAGACGCTCGCTCCTTACGGACTCGCGGAACGGAAAAAAGGACCCATAGCGTAATAGGCGGCAATAATACAAGAACACAAATCTTTCTTCACTTATACTTTCCGTCCGTTTAATTCATCGTCGCCGGACATATTCCAGTGTTCGTGGACTTTCCGGTGGTTAAAGAAACATGGTTTGGAAGGAAGTCTTGAATGTGTAGATCCTACACCATCAATTTGTTTTTTCACTGGGTAAATCTACGCTATCGTATATTAGCTTGCAGACCATACAAGAGAAGTAAACTACACTTAGTTAACCATGTGTGACAAGCTCGATCTAGCGAGATTGACAAGAGGATTCGAACTTGGATCAACTGACACTCGAACTTGGATCAACTGAGACAAGCTCACTTGCTTCAACCGCTAAATCACCTCCCTTAGGGGACGATTTGTATATATTTGAACAAGGATTTCAAATGACTTAGATAAAAACACACACACACACACCAAAAAAAAAAAAAAAGAAGGGGAAAAATTGGGTTTTGGATCGGGTCAAGTATATAATAGATAAAACGGGTCGTACGGCCCAATAAGCTGCTATGAAACGGGCCACACTACCTAAAATCCATTCCTCTTCGTCTTCTTCACAACTTCTAACTATTTTTTTTTTCCACTCTTCCCCGTTGGTTCTCAATTACAGGTTCAAAATCACCCTCCACTCTTCCGGCGGCGTAAACTAGGGTTCCGGCGGAAAGTCCGAAGACGTCTTGCCTCGCTGTAAGTTTTTTTTTTTTTTAATTCTGTTGCCATTTGTGGTAGTGGAGATACAGTAAACATTATATAATTACTCAAAATAGAAATAAGATTGTATACTATTTTGGGTAAATTTAATTGTTTTCATGAATACCTCAATTCTGATTGGTGGTAGAAGCTTTTGAAGAGCTTAGGGTTTTTAATTTGTTTTAATTGATATTTTTTTTTAAGACTTAGTAATTAGTTTCTCTTAGAAATGCAATCTGATGCATAAAAAGAATTACTTAAAATTTATAACATGTTGCATTTTGATCACTGCGAATCGGATGTGTGTCGAGAAATATCGAAGATTGTCCGAGAATTTGAATGCAAGTTATTATTATTATTATTATAATTCGATTGCTATCAGTTCTGTTACTCTGCTAAAGTCGATATGTAGGTACTCAGTCGAATAGAACTTTTTACGTGCATATTTTCATAATCGTGATTCGCCATATTTTCGTAAACCGATTATCGGTTTGGTTCGAGGAAATCGACAAGTAAAAAGATGAAAAAAGCTAGTAAAGGTTTCGTTTTTAATTTACTCAAAGGCTCGTAGATGAGAAAAAAATTACGCCTCCATTCGCTCTTTCGAGTTCAACGTGTGTGTGTGTGGTTGTCATTCGGGTATAAAGCCGACAATTAGTGTTTGGACTTTCACTAATAGTATCCCTGTGTTATATCGAATTGTTAAAACCTTGCCATGTTAGTAATATTAGCAAAAAAACCCCTATAATGCATTTTCTCAGCATTCACAACCCCCTAAAATGGTGAGTTTTTTCTAGGTAATAATTTGCTAAAAAAATTGAATCATAGGGGTTTTTTTGCTAATAAACTAACACAAGGGGTTTTTAGCAATTAGGGAAAACACAGGGGAGCTGAATGCAATTAACCCGATGAATTTCACTCTTCTCTTCCAAATTTCACTTTTTTCATCAAAACTACCAAGCAAAACTAGCGAATTTCGATTTTTTTTTTTAATAGGTACAACAATGGTGGATGCATGGTGGGCGGTAGCGGCAGCTGCCGCCGCCACTGTCCCCGTTTTCATTGCCGGAAAGGCTTTCAGAAACAGAGGTGCCGACGAGCAAAGGGTTAAAAAAAACCCTCTAGGAGGAGGGGGCCAAAGAGAGAATAACACGGGCGATATTTTCGTGTGCGAGAGAGTTTGCACTTCGAAAAGAATGCTCAAGAAAGTTGGCGCCTTCTCGAAAGATCCAATAAAGGACACGTGTGTTACGGTGTGCGGTGTTTCCGAATTGGACGCATGTGCGGATGCGTGCGCGAGGACCGTGTGCGTTGACCAACACCAAGTGCCTAATTGGAACGACGTCTGCCTACGGAGGTGTCAGAGCGAATGCCTCAAATTATCCGAGTCTCGACTCTCTTCGTGACAAATAAGAAAACGTGGTTGTTTTGATTCTTGATTTTTGATTATTTTGCTCGTCAGTGAGTTTTTTTTTTTTTTTTTTGAATTGGGATCGCGTGTTAAGGCCGATATAATCGACACTTGTGAAGTGTTTGGTGTTCGGGTTTGAAGCTCGTGATTCAAAAAAGAAAAAAAAAGGAAAAAGAAAAAGAAAAAGAAAAAATACCATTAAATTGAATAACCATATGCATTGGTTAAGGTCTTTCAATTTATTTATATTTTTCCATATTATAATTTTCCATTTAAAAAAAATTAAAAATGAAAAATAAACGGTTCGATGCTGAGGATGGACCCGAAATGTTCGGTTCTATTCATACATTCATAGAGTTCGACCCGGAACCGACGGTTATAAAGGGAGGAGCATGGGGCGGGTTTGGGGCAGGTTTTGTATTCCCTGCACCCGCCCCGTTAACAAACCTGTTCAATCCGCACCCGCTCCGCCCCGCCCCGGGTATAATTTTCTCAACCCGCACCCGCCCCATAGAAACCCGCGGGTACCCGCCCCGCCAAAAAACCCGTAAAGCTGAAGAAAAAAGTAAAATGTTTTTTT